AAAGAAGTAAACTGAAAAAAGGGGGAATAGTATTTTCATAGCATAGGGATCTGATTTCAAGGATAAAAATATTTGGCTTACCGCTTTCCTTTCGGGTCAAAAGGTACAAGAGATGGCAGATGAAAGGACACTGAAAATTTTTGACAACATGATTAATCAATTCACACCTTTAAAACATAACTATTTATCTTGCCAGCTGTTAAAAACACAGTCCAGCTTAGTGAAAAGCGTGCCTGACGTGTGTAAATGCCATCGGATTTGTCTAAACAGTCATTTCAACCCATTATTATAAAGATCGCCAGCACTTACCAGATTTTCATCTGTGACAAAGTTGAAGATGAAGCCATAAATTGCTCGTAGCTGGTCCTTTGCATCAATCATATCAAATACAGTCAATACCCACTTTATGAAAAGAACCTGCATGGAAGAGAAGTTTGATGATCGTTAATGTCACACTCTTATCAAATGGAACAATGAAATTAAGTCTTCAGTGTGACCCCAGGAATAAACAAGGCATAAAACTAAACAAGTCTGAACTTCAAAACACACCAGAAGAACTTCAGAAGTGGAGTATTTGAGCCTGAGTTGTATTTTATTTTGAAAATTGGCTGGTATCTCTTAACTGCTCCTACATCTCACTTCCTGCACTTTTCAGCTGCTCGTTGGAATCCCAAAATATACCCTGTGCTAATTTTAGTGTGGCAGAGCTGAAAAGGTGGACTTGGTGGATTTACAATCATTATACTAAACAGACACGACTAGCTCCAGTGACTGCACTGGAGCTCAAACAGAACTGCAACACAGCCAGACTCACGCGTTCCCTGGACAAATATTCTTCCAGACAATAATTAATGAACAGAAAATGAGAAGAAGACTTTAGGCACATCAAACAAAGTTTTACTGCCCCAAAAGTTAACTGAATCCCTAAAGAAGGATTGGAAGTTATAATATTTCCTTTAGTGCAAATATTTTACGTGCACTTACTTGAGTGCTGATGGGCATCTTGCC